GACACTCAGTGGGTTAAAAAGGCAATTTCTGACAAGATCATTTTCACCCTTTTTTGGCATTCAGAAGGCCATTTAGCAACAGAACCATAGTTTTATGCTCAGTGCTCATGCCCCTATACCATGCAAAAAACCATTTTTAAAAAGCGTCTCAGACCCTGAAAAACCTTCCTCGTGAGGATATCAGGTTCAAAGTTACGAGGGTTGCCTTTTACATTTTGGGACTGAGCAACCCTAGTGTTGCAATCTGGCAACTGACAGCTCTATCGTACAGCTTGACATTTTTGAGGTTATACACACTCGGAACGTTTTAACACATGAGCGCTCTTTGTGTTGTTCACACTAACTTAAAAAATTTAGTAAAGCCCTTGGCGCCCCCACCCCCCACTTGGGCCAAACCTCCTTCCCTCTTAACCTCCCCCTCCCCGTTGGCGATGGAGCTCCATCAAGGGCCGGTGCCTATCGATGGTAAGTTGAATTCAACCGAGGTCGAGTTCATTCCAAGACGAATTTTGTGGAGGTCTCCGTACCAATAGAACAAGCAGAGCAGTCAATTCTGAGTGGTATACAACCATTTAATTGCCAGTTGCCTTCCAAAAATCAGGAAAACCAACTGCTGAAGACGGATCACTCCTCACCACGACAATGCGAGCTCCCACACATCGGCTCAAAGAACTGCATTTTTGAGCACTCAAAACAACGACTTGATGAGTCACCAGCCATATAGTCCCCGAGTGACTTCTTCTTATCCCGTAAGTAGAAGATAAAATGAGAGTTCAACGTTTTTCGACAACTGAAGAAGCCGTTGATGCGATCAGAATGCATGTTTTAGAGTGACCTCAAATTGAAGGGCAAAAGTGCTTTGACAATTGGTTCGAACGCATGAAAAGTGTATAGATCTCAATGGAATATTCTTAAAGGCAGCAAAGCGATTTTTCAATGATTAACATTTATTTTTGTTTTCTAGTTGCGAAGTATAAAAGGCAGCCCACGAAAAGGTCACTCCCAAGTAACACTCTAACTTTGAACCTAATTTCCTCGATGAGACTGACCATACTTGTTGTAAAGCAGGTTTCATCCATGGCAGGGAATGATTTTGTAACCTTCACGAGTCTCCCCACTTGCGCTTACCCACTGTCTGACAATAGAGCATTTCATCGAAACCTACGTACACGACTTTCAACGAGCCAGCCCATCTCGCAGCTTCTAAAGTCTTCTCTGGGTCCATCCGCTGAGGGGTTAGAGATGGTTGGTTTCGAATTTTTTGAACTTGTACTCAAGCCCGTCGATCAGAGTTGTATTGCATGAGGCTGCTCGTGCATGCTCACTTTTTTGCGGCAGATTTTGAAAATCGGTTTTCACGTGCTGCCAAGTATGCTAGTTTACCAGAATGGGAGCACTCGAGAATATTGTATACAGTCCACCGAAGCAACCTCTAGGCGAAAGACTATAGGGGGGGGGGGACAGATTTCATAATGAATTTGCAAACGTGAATTTTTGTCGTGCTATTTTCGGAACCACTCCCCAAAACTTATAGAAAAGAAATCAAAACATGAAGAATGAATAAACAGAGCGAGGAGATTCTCCCGTGCACATAATTTTCAGAAATTTTATGTCATTTTGGCCGTGCTCTTTCAGAAATCAAAGGGTTGCAGCAATCTTTCTGTTCCGAATAAGCGATGGGCTCTTTGGGAGTATTTACCTTCGAAAGTTAGGATAACCCTGGGGCGTTAATCAGCCTATCTGAGCGATGCGCCCACGCATTCGAGTTCCATTCAGAATTGTAGTTGCATTTATACAGTATGTGCAGGGTGCGCCCTAAATATGGCCCGCATTAGGTGAGCTCACTTCCGGATCTCTCGTCGTTTCGACATTCATCGCATGACCCTCTCCTGCAATGCGTTGCGTGGGCAGGTGAAGTACCAGCCTTAAGACGGTCGCCTCATCTCGATTACGACCCCTTCTAAGGATACAGTTGCTAGGGAATGATTACGCTGCTAAACCTGCAGAAAAACGAGAAAAATGACTGCCGAGTTGGATGTATGTTCCACTCCGATGAAAAGTCTTCCGCGAGTAAATACAATGGTACACAGACAGGTTTCAAAAACCTTATAAGATTCTAGACGAAGAAGTTTGAAAGGAAGCACGAGTCCCATGCCCTACTTGCACGGGAACACGCTTCGAGACACTTCATTCTGACAAAAGGTGTTGAAGTAATGTTCAGGTTCCAGATTACACGTATATTTCTCACTACAACAGGAGAAAGTTCAGATCGTTTCTCGCAGGAATTTTCCTCCTCTACGGTGCTTCGGGCTATAATCTATGTCATCCAGCGATATCACTCATTTTTATCGAGGAAAGCACTAAAATTCATGTTGAGTAGAACACCTACATGGGGGCGTTTCTGAAAGGTGCTGCTCAAGGTCCAAGATTGTTTATGGGATACGATCTGGAAACGCATACTTGCTTACGCATGGGAAAAGATCGAGACTGATGCTTAGGAGATGTCCGCAATTTCATCACTACTCCCAACTGGCCTGCGATTTCCGGTCCTCAACCCAGTAGGTGCGTGGGTATAGGATACAGTGGAGAGAAAAGCTTTCGCTTCCAAACACATAACACTTGCAGTTTCCAAGGAATCGTTGAAAAAACCTAGAGCCGGAGACTTCTGAGCTCTGTGTGCCGCTGTCGATGAATAGCAGAAGCGTCTTTGAGCTATCAGTACCGGAGACGGTTTTTTAAGATGACCGTGCGTTCATTTTCTTGATGCGATGCATAGTAAATAGTTCGCATAAATTCACCATGTATCAATTTGTATTGCGGTTCTGCACAGCCATTATTTTGTTACTATATTTATGGCGCACCCTGTATATATGGCCTATACAGTGGCTTTCGGTAGTCAGCCGATGTAGAAGACGGTGCTTTTATTCTTCTAGGCAAATCTGGTATCAATTCATTGACCCAAGGGAAACGGAAGGCCTCGTTGGCCTAGGCGAATATCGATACGCCATTCGAACCACTGACCGTGCGTGTCATGGTGCGGTACTTGCCACTACACCTCATCTGCCCCTGGCGCTAAGATTATTGCTTGAAGTCCTGCTTCAAAGGCATACTTATATGAGACTACGCTAGTGTTAACCTATGCCATGGCCACACATATCCATTCAATCTAAGAAAACTTGAAATCCCAACAAATAAAGTTGGACATTAGCACAGAAAATCGCTAGTGGTCTTCAAGCACCGCACGACACTGAGAGACTCTACATACTACTGAGAATATCAATCTCTAATCAATCAAAATTATAAAGTCAAGCTAAGCTTTTTTTCTGGTCTGAACTCAATAATGCTGCGATAGGGAGACTTTAAGTTGCAACAGAATTGCGATGTGTGTATGTTTTTCCAAATGATCTCGTTCGAAGCGAACGAACGATACCACTACCTCGCTAACCTGTTACAGTCAAAGAAAGTGGCTTAGGATTGCTGAGTTCGCTTGGAGAAGGAAAGTGTATCATATTTCATCAAGGGCACGATAAGATTTTAAATAAACCTATCAAAATCTCATCGATAACCCTATCCTAAAATATATGCAACGAACCCTCTGAATATCAGATTCTGTATGTGTTTTCGACAGGGCTGCTTCAACGACAGCATACAGCTCGTTGTTATTGTTTTGAAACCTAAAACAGGCTTCTCGTGCTCAGAAATTTTCGAAAAAAAGTGTGAAGAACGAAGAATGAAAACGAACATGAAGGAAAAAGGAAAGGGAAACAGGAAGAGGGCAGGAAGGCCCATTGTATTGCTTTTTCTCCGAAAAAAACGGGAATCGTATCCGAAATCATGAACCTGTTATAGATTTGCTCCCAGTTCTCGCTGAGAAACGTGAACAGAACATCGTCGTTGATATGGTTTTTACTTACAGAATGGAAGACCTCAATTATATCTGCGAATGAACCCTCTTCTACAGCTGATTTCAGGAAGCTGAAACAAATTTAGACTTTTTACATATACATAGCTGTAAACTAACAACAACGAACCTTTTTATCGCTTGCTCATCGTCGTGGCATGCAACAGCAAGTCTCAAGTAAGTCAACTCAAATTTATTCTTTTCGATGCCAGCCATTTCATTTACCTAGGTGTTAATTAAGATTAATTAAGATTAATGATTAAGCAGTCATGTGACTTCGGTCATATGACTGCTTAATCTTTCTCATACTATCTACATGATACCTTCTCCTTACCTTTTCGAAGGCTTTAGAGCCGAGAATTTTCACTCCATAACAATACGTCCCTTCCCTGAGTGGAGGAGGGATCCTTCAAAAAGCAAAATGAAAAGTGAAAGACAGTTAGCTAAAGTAAAGATAGTGCACATGCGTTAGGAACGAAATGTTATCTCTATTCGTTAGTGCCTACCTCATCGAAGCCAAGTTTTCACCCTGTACGAGATCAAAAACAAAAGTCATAAAAAATTGAGCTTTATACGATTTGAAAATCTGCTCATTTAGCACCAAAGATCGACAGCATCGAAGTAATGCCAAGCGCAACGCACTTGCGCAAAAGAGAACCTTCCGAAGTGTTTAGTAACCAGAGAACGGAAAAAATTGACAGTTTTGCTGGCTTCGAATACAATGCAACAAACCCTTCCGTCTTGGTCAGGCTTATCTTTTCTTACTCTTTCTATTTTCCAGTTCTTACAAATCCTTTTAAACTTAGCATCATTAAAGTTTTGGAGGCACAATTCATTCAGGATGTTCATTCTGTTTTCCATTTCTTACATCAAAGATTGCACCGACTGTATGTTACCTTCGATGGTGGGCGAATTTGAGCGGCTTGTGAAGCTGTGAAGAAGCTACACCTGTGCCATTGGTGACACATGATAAAACTTCAAACTTGTCGTCACCCATGGCGACAGTAGAAGGCCGTTTAGTACCTTTTTCTATTCACTGAAGCCAGCTTATAAGCAATTGCAGCGACTGAGTCTCGTCCAAGTAACGCTTCCATGTGTTTCCGACTTGGTTGTCCCGCACAACACCCTGTTCTTACTATTTTAGGGGCCGTAAATTCCACGATTTCGGCGGGATCTCTAATCTTTTTTGCCACCAATGCACATCGCATCTCCTTCAACAATTTCGCTTTTCAATTTGACAAGTGTATATTGAAATAATAAGAATTGTGCGTCACTCACTGGCTCTACTACCTTTGTTGTTGAGAATAAAAAATGGTAATAAGTCAAATCAGTGGAGCATGTAAAATGTTAAGTGAAGTAACATCTTCTCAATGGACAAAACACCGTCTCCACCTCCCTCTAAGGCTCATCAGTGGCAAGGGAAGTAGACAAATGCAAAAGATAGTGAATTATTCAGTGCAGTGAAAGAAACTGCGGAAGTGGTCCGCGAGTTGCACTGTAGGTGAAGCTTATTACTGTTCATCTTCGTAATCCCATCAAGAAATGTGGTAATGTTATCGAGATCAACCTTAGTAAGAGACAGTACCATATGAATTTTTTTGTATATGCACCTATGTTACATGTATTGTGATTCCTCTTACACTACCGCTACTTATCGCTCCCCAATACTCTTACTCGAAAAAATCTTTCTTGAGGAAATTTTGATCTTTATTCTACTTCAAATTAAACTCCATTCAGCCAACGAATGGAAGAAAAGATACAGACTGAAACTCTGTTCGACTCAATATGATGACGTGCTCATGCAGCGAGATCACGCTCTGAAGGCAGTGATACGTTTTGATTATTGGTTACCAGGGGACTTGACACATCACTTTATTTCATGACATCTTAACACCAAAGGGGCACAGGGTTCGCCCATTCCATTAAGATGTTAAGGGTTCGCCAACAAATGCTTGCGTTATGATCGAGCCTCTTCGTAAAGCTTTTCAGTCTGAGATGGGCTGGTTATTCGATCATGAAACGACGAATGGAAGATTCATTTTCTACAACTCAAGGAAAATGATGGTGACCAAGATGACGACTGACTAAGATAATTGAAGTTTTCCACAAATGTCAATGGAAACAGCGGAGAAAGCGAAATCTTACTTCGCGATGAGGGACCCCAGGTAAATCATCCTAATTTTCCTTAATTGCTCAGATCCTTTATCCTCCCGCTTAGATCCTTTAGGCACACTGCTTGCATACTGAGCCAGGCGACGGCCGGAACTTCTGTTTTCTTCATCTTCCCGTGTTTTCGCAACAAATCGAATGGGTACCATGAGAAATCTAGAGTAATAAAAAACTCACTTGACACAAGCACTCGCTAGCTCGCCTTGTTTACACTTAGCAAGTACTTCTTTTTCGAACAATTTCACGTACTCAGCCATGCACTCATCGGCTTCTACTTGGCAATACATATCTATTACAGTCATTTGAAAGGTACTGAAAGGACTACACTCATATGTGCAATTATTGACAATTAAATAAAATCTTTATGAATTTCGTAGTAGTAAAATGTGTTCTTATATAGTACGTAAGGAGAAATCTCTGCATATCATCAAATTTACCCACTCTGTCAAACGACTTTTGGTCTCAATGGTTAAATGTCAATTAATCCTTCCTTCATTGTACACTAGGATTCATTTGTGATCCTAACAAGTATCTTTGTGCTATATTAATTTATATGATTTCCTTTTATACATTCTACATATTATTCATTAGTTTTACAATACTTCCATGTTTTCGTTGCTATACATAGTAACTCATTTTGCAGAATGTTTTAACATTTTCTCGAGAATGATTTCATACTCAACGTTCTGCTTTCTCACTGTAAGTTCGTACATGCATCTTGACCTGTAGCGTCATCGGGAGTCAATGAAAAGATATGCTCCTTGTCTAAGCGATCAAAACGACAGAGCTGTTCCGCATCATGCCTCAGTCTCTGTGTATATGTCTTCATACTTCCATATCCACCTTTTTCTATTGAATGGTTCTACTGGGGCACGTCCGGGCAAAGCTCTTTGTTGCTCATGAAGAAACCCAGCGGCAGAACAAAACACCAATGGCCTCCTCGGGATGACGAAAAAGTGACTGTATGGTATAAGCGAAACCTTTTCCAGACAGATTGGGAAGTCTGATCCCTGTATTCTATGTTAATATCAACGAATTGGAAGTAAATGGAACATGCGACGGCGCAGGATAAATACTAGGGAGAAGAGTATGAAGGAACTTATGTATTCGTGGTGTTTGCCTCGATTCAAGCTTTCCTACGATGAATATAAAAGCAAGTTTCCAAGGTCACAATTGAAGTCTCTATACATCTTGCCTTGAGCGTCCATTACCAGTAATCTTTCCTACACTTTATCCACACCCTAGCCATTGGTGGAGATATGGTAATAGAGGACTTTTCTTTTACAGTCATTAGCCAGCTGATTATGCTTCAATTCGCGATTCACTGAAGTTGTCTCAGAGGCAGAAACGAGGTTGTTTATTCTTCTGAAATGTCTGAAGTGCGAGAATCCGTTAGCTCTCATGAAGGTTCTTGAGAGACTTGTTCGTCACACTATTAAATATTCATTTACTATCATTTTTCTCTAAGTAAAAAAAAACGATCACGTACTTGAGCAGGGCGAAACAGTGTTTTATAAAGAAAATTTTCGTGAGGGTATCATGTTTCATATGCAGTTCTGTTCCTGCAGCTACTACTGGGGACAAAGTATTAACTTTGTTTCTCTCAGAAAAAGGAGAAGGCATATTGACTAACTACTGTGCATAAAATATCACAGGATTTAAAGTTTTCTGCTGTTGCCAAGCTGTTCACGGTTAGGGTTTTCTCAAGAAGAAGTAGCCCTATCCTACGATATACAGGGTGAGGCATAAATGATGGTAACAACTTTACGGAGTTCCTTGTTTGGATGGTTCCTTTCTAAATCTACATCTTCTTCTATGTTCATCATGTAACTCAGCTCAATTATCTGCTTTGATGCTCTAACTTCGTCAGATTTCGGCGAATGGTGAAGCCCTGCAATCTTACAACAGCCGTTTCGTGTTTGCACCCATTTTGTGAGATTCCAGGATTGCTCGTCGGTTCTCCAAAACAGTCTCTCGAATCGCAATTCTTGGACAGGCAAACGATCAGTCCATGGCAGCCGTCTTATCCCAATCGCTACCTTTTTCCAAATACATCTCTTGGGAATGATTAAACTACGAAAACAAAGGAACATTAAAAAAATGGCTGTCAATGAACGTATGCTCTACTTCGATAAGAATAGTTTTCCGCGAAGAAATACAATTGTATTCACACGTTTCTAAAGCTTTCTAACCTTCCGACAAAAAAAAAGTCGAGAGAAAGAATGAATGCCGGGCCCTTCCTGAACGCGGCACGCGCTTCGACACATTTTTTTCGAGAAAAAGTGTCCAGTGTGAAGGAAATTAAAAGACCTCAGAGCACACGTATATTACTCACTACTCTAGCGAGGAAGTTGGAAAGGGTCAGATCGCTTCTCGAAGCCAATTTCTTTTATGATGGTTTACGATATCGCTATTTTTGTCGAGAAAAAATGAAAATAGATCAGAACGCCTTCAGGAGGGGACATTTCTGAGAAGATGCTGCTAAGGGTCACAGATTTTTCCATGGATATGATCTGGAAACACTCGCGTCACGGGNGCTGAGGAGATGTCCGCAGTTTCATAGCTGCTTCCAATTGGTCTGCAAATTTTTCCGGCACGCAACCTCTTGGATAAGAGGGTATAGAGTATGGTGGACATGAAAGTCTGCACTCCAAAACACACCACAATTGCTATTCGTGAGAAGCGCTGAAAAAAGCCCGGACTTCAGCCTCTCAAGTACCTCTGCGTGCTGACGTCGACGAGAAGCATCTTTGAGTTATAACCAGCACAGGGGACAATTATATCAAATGAGTTCATTCAGTTGGTGCGATGCATAATAAAGAGGTAACATGAATTTACCATGTTTCAACTTGAATTGCAGTTTCTGCTCAACAATTTTTTTGTTACTACGTTCATGGCGCACCCGGTGTAATTGTTTGACAATAAGGATATTTCTTGGTGTCGATTGGTGTCGGTGTCTGTGTATGCGGGTGTGTGTGTCGGTATTTGTGTTTGACCGGGAATTCATAACCCTGTACCCGTTAACCTAGAACGTTCAAACACTGGGGAGTACGGGCAGCGGGATGAGAACACTTCTAACAGGCGGCAGAGCCAGACTGCACCGACGGGAGGCGAGACGTACGTAAATCAAATGTTCGAGCGTATATAATATGTCTTGCTCCCATAAACAAGGACGTCCAAATTTGGTATAGGAAGTGATAATAATCGATAGTCAAGTCGAAAAATGCTTAGAAAGCATGAGGCGCAGAATCGGTCACCTTTTATGTGTTGATGGTGAAGCCTTGACACTTTAGTAGAATTAGTGAGTTAGGCAGGGACGGTTGATGTCTAATGATAGGGATTGATAACAAGTGTTAGGGAATGATATCGAGCCCTAGAAGCTGAAACCACGATCGCATCTAGAAATATTGGTGACTTTTCGGCGCGTCTCGCGTGCGCGGCTCTGCTCTGACATGATTCCGAAAGGCTTTAAACATGTCTTTGGTCTACTCAACTGCTGGAATCTTGTAGGAAATTTCACTTCGTACAAGGCTTTGAAAATGCTCCCACAGTAGCGTGAAGAAACGAAGTAGAGCAACTACGCTCTACCAAGAGGACATTCGAGTGCTGAGTGATGAGCTCAATGGCACAGTTCAGGATAATTTCGAGATATCCCTCTTCAGTCGAAGAGCGGAAGCATAGGTTGGGAATAATTCATAGGTGACCATGGAAGCGAGAGAATTCGCCGGTTTCGAAAAAAATATGACCCCCTAAAAGTAGGGAAAGTAGAGGTTGGACGAGATTACCATGACGGAAATAACATGGAAGGGGTATTCGGACTAGATTTCAGTTAATGCAATGCGCAAAGAGCCGACTACTCCAGTTAGAACTGTGCAGAACTGCCCTCTACTGGCTCTATTGGCCATGACAGGTTGTTTGAACTTAATACATGAGCTCCCTGACCGGTCCTTCATGGGCTCTCTTGTAACCGGTGCAGCCTCTACGAAGCTGGTGAAGCTCGTCCGAGGATACACACGGTGCAATCTTTGAGCCCTCATAACTCCTTAACCATGCCGCTCTCCCACCTCTTAGCGCCGGAACTGATATACGAGAGGACCTCGAATTTATGCTACAGGGGAATCTCGAAAACTATTTTTATCATGAACTGTGGCTTTAAGAACATAAATAAACTCTTAAGGGAGTCAACCTCACATCATTATTAACAAAAGACCAGTAAATAAAAGACAAACACTTAGAACTCAGAATCAAGTGTTACACAAGCATTATTGAAGCATACAGTGGTGAAATAAGTTTATCGAGGAGTATCTACCACCGTTGGCAATGGGCCAAGAGCCAGTTGGAGACAGTTGGAGACTCACCCATATTTTTAGATGTCTGCAACGCCCTTCTGGTTGACAGTGGAGGTATAGTTCTTTAGTGGGTTGTGCGGGATTTAAAAAGTTGGCAGGTACTCTGCTGTAGGAACTAATGACAATTGACAAAAGCTGATTATGGAACTCAGAAAACGGGGGGTGCTTACCAATCAACTACCAATGCCAATGGTATTTTCGACGTTCTAACACTGACTCCTTGAAGGTTTCTTTTGTTAAGATGGGTAAATACAGTGATAGGGACCGATTAAGGGTAATACTGTTACATTACAGTTTACCTAATGCTAATAGATTACGACCGCTACACAGCAAGTATGGCGACTCAATGGAGGATAAGGTTTTGCTCTCTGATAAGTTATGTCAAAAATACTTTTCTGCATTATTGACATAACTTATCAACAACAACAACTTATCCTACCTCCAATATTCTAACAATAAAATGCTCAACTAATGAAAAATCCGTAGAAAAAGGAAATTCCATTGTTGTCGACATACTATTGGGCAAACCGGAAAGTCTGCGCTGGTTTTTGAGTCATCTTTGAGCACAGAGTTTTTGACGAGTGACCAAAATTACGCGGGGTCTTGAATTATCCTTTTGGAGGACAACGCCCTTACGAGTGGCCAATTCTGAGCGCTTNGCTGCCTATAGAATGTTTATACAGTAATTTCGAAAGTTATCGCTCGACTGTGCGACAACAGCTCATAATGAATGTTTCTCCTTCATTCCAATCAGCAACAATCCTCACCCGGATTTTCACATTTCGCTAGTTTGTGTTGGCTGGAAAGACTCTACGATCGTTTCCGCTTCACGTTGTTGTATGCGACCCACTTTTTGTATCTTTGTCTACCTCATACGTTCCAGAAACAGCTCATCTTTGTTTCGTTTTAGCAACGAGTCGCCCATGGGGTACGGCCCATCACTTTGCGCTCGC